TTAACATCCCCTGCTATCGCTAGCCAGATTACATCAGTTTCTTGATATATTTATAGTCTATCAAATATATTTTCGAACCTCTTCGCTTCTGTCTTTTTAATTTAGTTGGTGGGTACGATTCATATTAGGTGTTACTGGTCAAAGCGTTGTCAAAACTCCAAACACCGGCGGCATCTCCAGTCTAATTCGTTATTTGAACTGCTGTAATAGTAAACTTATCCTAAGATTGTAGATTTGTCATGATGTAACTGACTAATGTATAAGATCTTACTTGAAAGTCACATCTTTGTCTGCATTGACTCATCGTGCTGTAACAATCACTAATATATGATGGGACACATATGTAGGCTGGAGATAGAACAATATATTTAATATGAGCCATGCGATCCGATGAATTCGTAGTGGCATTCGACCATAACCACACAATCCTCAAAGCTGAACACGAGACAACTCGGAAAATAGATATTCAATATTTAACGCGGAGAAATACCGAACGATTGAGACGGCGGGAAGAATGTGTGGAATGAATTGGAGTTGATCGGATGGCATGGCTCAGCCATGCAGGCGTGGTTCATCTGAATGTTACGTTATATCTTTTATTCATATTAAATATATTGTTCTTTCTCTAACCTAAGTTTGTTCTTTATCATGTAATGGTAGTTGTTACGATGATGTGACTTCCACGTAAGACCTTATAGATAAGGCAGTTATATCATGACAAATCTATAATTTTAGGATTAGGTCTATTATTAGCGAAGTACTAATATCACAGTAGATCATAATTCTACAAATTCAATCAATAATCCCACTTTTCATAGTTAACCATTTCTTCGTGTCACTTTTTGAATATGTAGTGACTCACATTTATCACGAGAACACGACTGGTTTAATAAAAACAATTAATATTATGACCAACTGTACCAGTGTTTGTTTCAATGTGCTTTTGTTTGACTGTGCTAATGACAGCTATATTTTGCTCCCATTCTTATACACACGCATTTGATTGTGACTTCGCGCGAATTCGGTTACATTCTGTAACAAAGCTTGTATCCTGGCACGATCTCGGTATCCTTCCGATACCACGAGATCGGCACGACATTGCGTCTGCCCGGAGACTTCACACCACGGAGCAGACGTGATTTCGGTGAATCAGATTACGTCCATCGACTGTCTGCATTTATGCGAACGCTGTCTCCGGTGTCAACTCGAATACAACATCGACAGGTCGCTCTCCCTCGAGAGTTATCTACCTGTTCACATGTTTTCATACGAGTAGATTCGGTATGCAAACCTTGGCAACAACCTTACGAAGGCCCTTTTCACGTGATCGCTCGTCACGAACAGACCTTCAAGGTTGATCGACATGGTCGCGTCGAGATCGTCAGCGTTGATCGTCTCAAACCAGCACAATATCTGGTAACCTGAGATTCAATGCTAGACTTATCAAACCTACTAGCGGGATCCTTAAATCTTCTTCAGGTCCCACGCTAGATACACCTGAGAACTCATTCTCACGTCCCGGTCAACAGCACGCGTCATCTGCACCGTCTACGGACGAGACGACAGTCTCACGTCCAGATCAGCAGACCTTGCCGCCTCTGACCTCGGATGAGATTGCAGGCTCAGGAGATACGAACGAGACTGCCGTCTGACGTTCCGGCCGCCGAGTACGGTTGCCCGTACGCTTCCGCGACTAGCCGCACAGTTAACAACCGATACAGTGTAGGGTTATTCCTATACAACACGCATGCTACACTCTTCTCTTTTTTGCCTTTCTTTTTGTTTCCTGAGCCCGCGTCTTTGACCGTCTCCGTTTGGTACCGTCGAATCCAGTCAACTTTGGCGAAAGCTGGCCTGATCACCCACGCTTTTGTCAACGTACTCAGTCGATATATTGGTTTCGAATGCTTGGCATACACTTGGTCTCGAACTTGGTCGTTGTGGCCGCTTCTGGTTCATCGGCTCAACGTGGTTTCGTCCTACGTCTGCAGCGTTTCTGGTCCTGACCCCTACGGACTCAATCTTCAGATTCTGGATACAAACCACTCTCGTGTAGCATGCCAACTCAAGCAACAAATACAGCACATCGCTCCTGGTACCGTTCTCCGAAAACGACCTTCGTTGGCAACTTGACGATCAACGATCACTTTCCTGTTCGCCAATTCTTCCGTCCTACAATCGCTTGTCAGCCGATTAGTCCCACGATTTAAACCGCTATTTATCGAAAGTGTAAACCCTTTCTAGTGGGGGTCTCATGTAGTGACTCACATTTATCACGAGAACACGACTGGTTTAATAAAAACAATTATTATTATAACCAAGTGTACCAGTGTTTGTTTTAATGTGCTTTTGTTTGACTGTGCTAATGACAGCTATATTTTGCTCCCATTCTTATACACACGCTTTTGATTGTAACTTCGCGCGAATTCGGTTACGTTCTTTAACCAAGCTTGTATCCTGGCACGATCTCGGTATCCTTTCGATGCCACGAGATCGCCAGCAAATATATCTCGACTTGGTCCGTTAACTGTCTTCTGATATTTGGCTTCTCGGGGATTTTATGGATTTATTTGGTTACGTTCAACCTACGCCTTCTGATTTACTTGGCACGTGTTTATTGGTAGCGGTGTTCATAGTTATTCTCAACTCGACACCACGCTACAAATATAATCCTTTTCATTATTTAACGCTCGGCTTGAAAGGTCGTGTGACTAGGGTTCATTGCGACTACAAATTCAATGGGCAGTGTCGAAGTTTATCTTCTATTGGTATCATAAATTAATTTGATTATATTCTATTCCATCCATGCAGCAGCGACCTTTTGTTCACGAGGAGAATATTATTTTATAGGAGTCGATGTGCATTCTGGTCGAGATGTTAAAAATGTATAATTAAGGGGTTAAGAGAGTCTTTATTAATTGCATTTGATCATCTTCAACGTCTAACACACGAAATGATGTTACTTGCGAGTTTTATCCACTTTCAGTTTATTGTTTCCAAATAAATACATTTGGATCGCAATAGAATCTCTTCTGCCACAAATTATTTTCATTGAACTAGTGTTCTTATTTTGCTGATGGTCATCGTCTACATCAATCCTAAGTAGGGATTTGTGTTGGCAGATGCCATCTCTGTCCAACCAACCTACGTAAAGACTCAGTATTGTTCCATGGGCTTTGGCAAATTCTTAGTTCTTTCTTTCCTACTTTAATTTTATTAATCAGAACTACAGTGGCGATTAACTGCGAATTTTGTGATTTATGCATATGACGCTGTTTACTTTCGTTCCGTCTCGAAATCACAAGAATATTTTCAGTTACCCTATGATTTCGTCACAACACTCATCTATCTTTTGCAAGATCATTCAATGTATCCTTAAAGATATATAGATGTTGTTGCAACTATTATCTTTAATTGGATGTGTGACGCTTCTTAGCAATATTTATCTGTGAATAAGTTTTTTTGAGTGGTTGAAAAGTTGATAAGTAGATTTTCAAGATGTAAATATTGTCATAGAACTTTTCTTATACACTGAATTCACTGGTATTTAAGTGAATTAATGGAACTACTTACCTCATGAAATCGCAAGTCCATATCACAGAAATTATGGTTTTTCATATTGATATACACTATTATGACGTCCAGAAGATCCTACATTCCAAGATTCTTTGAGGAATGAATGGCATCTTCCCAGAAGTAAATCGGAGCAAAGAAGGATCACACTATTGGTAAAACCACTCGAGCCATGATGTGTTGTCCATTCCACCAATCTCATGTTGCAGTGCATTGATTTGTAGCGGTAAATCCGTAATATAAATCGTTCTGTTATTATTTATTGTTCTGAACACATCATTATTGGTACAAGAGGGCACCAAATATATATGCGCCACACTATATTTGTGTGTGTGTGGGCTGTGATAATGCCCGGGTGCCCGGACCGAAGCAGGTGGTTTGCATAGGAGACCACACCCCGAGTCTTTGACCTAAAGGTCTAACCCACAAGGCAGTGAAGCATTGTGAGGGGATGCAGTCCCATGGTAGCCGGTGACCAGAAAATTGGTTCATACGCCGTTTGTTCTCGCAGGATACTGGAGCCCATGTGCACCATTGGTTTGGGATCCGGTTAAAGCGCTGGACATTTGCTTTTCGTCTTCTGATTTTCGTAAACAACACCCCCGCCACGAGAAGGCAGTGATCAGGGCTTCCCTGGCAGAAGCTGTATACGGGTGGCCGTGTGAGAGCATTTCGAGAGGGGAGGCGAGCCAACCCCACTCTCGGCCATACCATTGCATTTGGGTCTTCGACACACACGGTGATCTCATAAGTTTCACTGGATAAACCTTAGGTGCAGACGCCCGGTGACAACTTCACACCGGATCGCGAGTGGCTTCGCCGTACTACCCAACTCTTGTAAATGTTGGTCAGCTTAGAATAAACGCCTCTCAATATATCGATAGCTTTCTGAGTTGGTATGCTTCGATCATAAATGTGTTACGTGTAAAGACGTTGTCAAACTCCGAATGCCTGTAGCATCTTGCAGTTTCCTTCGTTTAAGATAAAGAATCATTTGGAAATGGTTAGGTTTCATTTCAAATTTCTTCGTTTCATGTGTGAGATTTAGACTGATCAGTCGGGTTACTCGTTATTGGTTTAGGCTCATTAAAAATTAGAAATGAGCCTTCAGTGGACTAGAATCTCTCGGTTGCGTACGCTGATCAAACAATCAATAATAATTCTAACTGTGGCAATCTTACTGTATTTTTATTAGAATTAAACTCTCAGAAACGTTTAACAGATATATTGGAGGAATATTGTTTTGCCTTCAGAAGTTTGACTTACTATATTGGTTACCTACTTGATTACAAAAAACCTTTTTATTCACCAGAAGGCTACAGTATAAGATTATCGATCTGTCAACATGGTATTAGACATTGGATGTTTTATTTCACCTAGAAAAGACAGAGATTTAAACGCACTTTTTGTTACTGCGCTAAGCGGGTATGGTGTTATTGCCTTGTAAAAGTACCAATAAATTACATGCAAGTGAAATAGTGTGTGAAGGATCGAGATCAGTAAATGTTATATATTGGGTTTAATTTCTCTTCAAAGGACATAGAAGGCTACAAATTCTCATATGTACGGTATATATGTGTGATTATTGGTTGCGTTCTAACGGCTGGACTTCTACGGTTACTGTTTCACTGGTATCCTCAGTGGATGCTTTGGTGTACACACAAAACCTGTGGTCTTAAAGAGGCGGATAAGGTCATGATAAAGGTTTGAGTACATTTATTTTCAAATACACTCTGAGATTTAAAGGATATTTCTGGTATCTATATCCATAAAGTTCATTATCCCACAAAGGAGAAGTCAAGGTTAAGTTTACTTTGATTCATATTGTTGTTGCAAATTGTGAGCTCTGAGATAAGTAAAAACAACCTATTTTTTTTTCAATCAAGGCCACAGTGTGATAGTTCAACCACGGAGGCTTTTCTTGAGGACCGGAACAAACACCAGTATATCATTCACAAAAAGTTAAAGTATATTTGGAACTGTGGGTCCGAAAGATTTGAGCTATTAGAGTGAGTAGAGTGTATTTATAAACACCTTAATATACAAAATTCATATTTGTAAAAGAAACTAAATACCATTTCGCAACTGTTTTTACGAATCAATGTTTTCATTAGAAACACCAAAGGTATCACTGATATTTTCTGGGATTAAAGCTAATATTCAGTAACGCATGTGTGTGTTCAAGGGGATTGTGTTTTTTACATTTAGGTTCATTTTTGATAAAGCGAGTATTTGTGAGCATCCGCGTCATTATTTTATATTGTATTATGTATGTCTCCTTGGAGAAGCTGTCTGTGTGTTCATATCTTAGCTTAACACTTGAGGCTTTCAGCAAAGCATACTGCATGTTCACATTTTTACCTCAAGTCCAGTAGTTTGTAATCATAGCACATTTACATTGTTCGCTAAAAAATGGCTGTGTATGATAGTTTCTAACGTTTGTATATGACCCGCATGTTGCATAGTATATTTATGTGCCGATAGTACAGTAATTGTCACTTTTTCAAACGTTTCATGGTTTTGTAATTTTATTCGATAAAGCATCCATTTTACAGGGTACATATCACCACTTAACGATTACTTTTATTTGTAGACAATCTTAGTTCATTAGAATCTCGGGATTTAGCGCTGATGAAACAATCGGAACCTATAGGTTTACACTTTTCAGAGACACAAATGTAACAGAATTTGTTGTGTCATCAGAAGATGCCTCCTTTTGGTTTACTCAGGTAGTTGGATTTCCCCAAAATGATGCTAAACTTTGTTGTTTATTTTTCTTTAGATACTGGGATAAGCGTCCTTACCATGAAGTATTAAATACACAAGCCTTAACTGCGGATCGAATTAAAACCCGTCGAAGCTTGTATGGAATTAATAAGATAGATATTAGCCTTACACCCATAATCAGGCTTGTTTTAAATGGTGTAAGTTGTTGAAAGTAGTATAAATTTGTTATGTTTTTTTGGTAATGATTTTGGAGAGGTGAAGGGCAAGTTTTAAGTTGCTTTGGATCTGGTTTTACCGTTCAAAACTGATTTAAAAATATTGCACCTACAAAACAACATCCTCGGTTTATTTCAGATCTACAAAATGCATTTGTAGCTATCAGAGTATAATATAAGCCGCTGTGATGTTTATTCTAACTACTCTGAACATGTAAATACACAGATATTCAGTTTACAGATAAAAAAATCAAGATAAAATCGGACAAAGGTTTTATTTATGAGGTTGTTTCATGCAGCTGATTATCATAATGGGTTTGTAATGCAAATCACCCCTAAATATGTACTAGTAACTGATCATTTGCAAACAAGCAGGATTTGTACACTCGGTAAACTTTGTTAACAAATCAGGAAGACTTGTGCGTGAAGCATACTGATAACATTATATCATTTGTATTCACTGATTTACGTACGAAACGTTTGTGTATACGACAAATATAGTATGCCAGACGAAAACTGACTAATGTGTCGAGTTTTATGATGGTTTAAACTGTGATAAACAGTAGCATTAATTTTCGGCAATTTATCTCAGTATACTCGTCATGGTTGTTTTTTGTTTCAGTGTCTTACTCCTTTTCATTGCTTTCAAGTATTCAGCTGCGTCATATGGTATTGCGTCGAGTACGAAATATATGCGACATGTATTGTTGTGTTTTCGGTTATATCGCTTATTTTTCAGGTTTACGAGCTCCGTAAGGTAAGAAAGCTTGTACATGTTGTACTTGTTTTTTCAGTAAAAACTTTTAAACTGACCAGATAGAAATTAAGATAAGTTCTCATAATTGTAAATGAAATTGTTCTTAAGCCTTTAGTATGCATGCTATGTCTTCTTACAAAATCACTTATGAAGAAATAACGCGCAGGGTTTACTAGTTAGTTAAAACGACTGAATCTAACTAAATTAAGGTAAAGATTTTCACTCTCTTTTGGATCTGAACTTATGTACGTGGATTAGTCATATCACCCGGATATTACCGTCGAATTAGCTTCTGTGGATTCTGATCCTATGTTTCATCAGTGGCCATTCGACTACTTAGAACATTAGGTCATAACTTATTGTCTAGTTACCTGGATTGACATTTATGGGAATATACCAAGTCAAATTGTAAAGAGTAACTGTATCTATGTAGATATAAATGGATAAATAGAAACACTATAACAGCCTTAACAAGCTCTGTAAAACGCCGCAAATTAATAGTTAACTGTTTCTCATCCTTGAGGAGCGACGACTAAAATTAGTGTAAAATAGTGTTTCGAAAGTTAAACGACCCTTAATTTATTTGAAATTTCACAGCAAGACGCTTACTTTATCGTGCTCATAACCAGCTACTTGTACTTCAACGCGAATTACGGTGGTTTGACAAAAGACCGGATGAATCAAGCAAAAAACTGTACCAAATGTTAGTATTTGAACTGAGCGGCGTCTATAGTTACAGATCTGTCGGTATAAGGGTTAGAGTACCATCTGAAAAACGTTTACAGTAGCTCATCTGCATACATTTTTTGCCGCACTTAATTTTTGGCCTTTGTTCCTCCTTATACTTCTCGTCTTTTATGAAATTTGTTTCTCTTGAAGTGAATTTTTATGTTTTATTTACTACTGCAGTTAACGTTATTTTACATCCTTTGTTTCACCCTTTGGTAATTATCATTCCTCATTTGTGGGCGCAGAGTGTGGCGACGCAGACCAATATACCTCTGTAACAGGTCTCATGTCCTCTAGGACTAATTGCTGGAACTTTACTTAGTTCACTTACGTTGTTCAAATTTCGACTGTTTTTGTTTTAGCTACGTTATTGCACGAAAGCTCATATTTCCTGATAAGAAGTTCGTTTTTATGAACAACATACGTACAACATAGTTGAGAAATCCTAAAAAAGAGTTTCAAAAAACAAACACATCTGTCGAAGAACAATTTACGCAATGGATTTGGTTGTTGTTATAAACCTGAGAAACAATACATTAATATATATATATATATATATATATATATATATAAGTGAAGAAAGAAGCAAGGTTCTGTCTTTATATTAACTAGCGTGAATTAATGGAAGCTACAGTCATTTACTTGGCGTCTTTTGTACATTGTAAAAGGATTAAGCATTTACTCCGATTATTTTAAGAGCACAGGAGTGTATTTATGTATGATTTATTATTAACGTTGGAGATATTCCGATAAATGCTCATTTTTGATAGGAACGTTTATCAATTTATATAAATTAACTATAAAATAACTTTCTACTTTTACGATTAACATATTTTTATGTCGACAAAAGTTTTTGTGATAAAACTCATTGAATGAGTTTAATTAAGATATAATATCGCTCCATTCTTTATCCAACGAATTAGAATGAGCGCTCTCTTAAGAGAACTGTATGCGTTTCAGCTAAAGTTGGTGTGTGCAGACGTTATGACGGGAAGGATGGTAAGTACACGAAAATTTCGAATGTTAATTTTTAAAACTTAAATTTAAATGCATTTTTAATATGCCTAAAATTGGCTTAGTTTTACCAAAACTTTTGAAGTACATAAGCGTTACCTTTGTCGCACTTTAAGTGGCCATTCCAAAACACTGACAGATGTTTAAAAAATGGAATAAACAATTTGCGTGCCATATTTTTATTTGATTAGGAAGAGAGGTTGGTTTTATTTGACCGTCACAGTATCCACATACGGGACGTCATTTATGAAACGTAACATCACTGCTGTAAAAAGTGTTTTCATAATTATTTTTAAGAATTTGCTTTTAAAATAATTGTATGCGGCATTTCTTATGAAAATTTTAATAATTGTAGGGGCAGGAAAAATCAGATTTGTTGACGCCTGACTTTATATGTTGATTCTGTCAAGTAAATTTAGATAATTGCGCTGTTATATTAAAATATTTCACTATCCTTACGATTGGAAACATCGTTCTACTGTAAGCTTCTGTCTGTGTTCAACAAAATATACATAATTAAAAGCTTACATGATTTAGAGAGTAGCAAATGATTTGTCTTACAAAATGTGCATCCAAATTTAACTTTGTATTTATGTCTTCATCTGTGTTTGCGACCGGTTATTTAAGGTACACAATGAATTAATTTCACTGAAGGAATAGAAGTGAATGTCCATTTACTAGCTTCATAACATTAGCTTACTTGAAAAGCGCTAATTTTCTCAAGTAAATGCTACTTGCTATCTTCACTTTGATACTAGAAAACAACAAGTGTTGATTCAACAAGTCTAGGAAAAAGGATTTTTGGATATTTTTGTTTTCTAACGAATAGATTTTATGCTTGTCGATTCAACCGAATTGGTACCAGGAGATTTAATTGCCATTCCGAGTAGTGGATGTTTGATGCAATGTGATGCAGTTTTATTGATGGGGAACTGCATCGTGAATGAAAGTAGCTTAACAGGTAGGTCTTAAAAAAATAGTAATTTTCATATCCGTTTAAAGTTGCCTTGATCTTAAGTTCATCATAGAAGTTTAGAATCGTTTTATTCATTAGGGTTCAAGTTTTTTCATTCTTTAACTGAAAACGTAGCTTCATCCTTGTTGGTAAAATGCTACTATAGTGTTTACAAAAAAATATAGAAGCAGACCGGCATTTCAAGGAGCCTATTTTCACAGTTTATTTGGACAGATACAGTAGACAGTGCTTCTTCGTAATCTCTACCTAAGCCACCACTGGCTGAATTTCGGACAGAGTAGAATGAGTTTTATTGAAAGCTGTTAACCCTCTAAAAGTTAGACGCTCAGATGGACTATTGTTATATATATATGTATATTTCAGTTGTATAGCCGTTCAGTATCTAGATTATAAATATATGTATTCCCCTAATTATAAGCTACATTTTAACCTATGGATTATTATTACAATTATTATTATTATTATACTTTTTACTGTTCTTAGGTTATGTTCAGTTTATTGATTTCAGTCTTTCACGTTCACAGCCACATTTTGGCTTGATCTTGTATAACTATTATTTCTTATTTTATTATGTGATGGGGTCTGTTCGGCTGGTATATAAGCCAAGCACGTTTGAAATAAATGATTCACATAGTGGAAGCTGTTATTGGTGTTCTTGTTTCAACTGGACGGGCTATGCGAACAAAGGACCAATAACGATGCTAGGCTTCTCAAACCGGTCGAACGTCACAGGTTTAGCATAATACTAAGATTGGATAAGTTGTATTTCGATTGATGAATAAATCATGCGATAACCACCCGGGCTTTAAAACTGTTATGACTTGTGGCCTTGTGCCCTAATAATATGTGACGTAATGATACCGCCGATTAGAGAACAATGCCTTATCGACCGGACCAATGACACTTAAACTCGTACGAACATTCTGGAGTCCTTATCGGTCCTTCTTCCCGTCTAGCCCTGTCGGCTGAGTCCAGAACACCAATCTCAGCTCCTGCAATATGAGTCATGTGTTTCAAACCTAATGAATTCATGTACAAGCCAAACAGACCACATCTCACCACAAAATAGAAAACAAAATTCGTAAAAGATCTAGCCTAATGTGGCTGTGAATGTGGGAGACTGTAATTATTAGACTGTGCATAACTCAAGAGCGGTAAACCGTATAATAATAGTCGATGGGTCCAAATAAAGCTTATAATAGGAGTAACATGAATATACATAGTTTAACTGTTTAAAAATTATACAACAAAAATATATGTATGGTATTGGTCCATAAATAGTTTTCAAAAGCTACAACTCATAATTCTCTTCGGGATACAACAAAAACACAATAGAAGTAGTCGCAGCTGGTAAATTTAGTACCTGATTGTGTGATCTCAACCGTATCGAAAGACATTTAAGTGTGTACTACAGTATCTGAGCTCAGCAAACAGATAATTAGGATCGGGTGCTTCTACTGTCTGGTTTTAGCGAGAACCAACTTTAAACAGAATAAAAGCAATCGCACATCTAAAAACCACTCGATAATGAAAAAAAATAAGAGTGTATTACAGTAAAGACTGGAGAAGCAGTTAGTCGATCATCAAAGTAATGTTCAGCCCTATGTATGCTGGCTCGATACCTGATCAGTTGTATAAGCCGTGTTGATATCTACCAGCGATATAAACCAAAAGTCGAAGAGATATCAGTGAGTTTCGGTGGCGTTTATATAACTCATAGATGCTCGAAAGCTCATCGCGTTAGGATCTAAACACGATAAGTAGCGAAAGCAACTAAAATTTAGGTTAACAATAGGTTTATGTTCGATTGTGAGTGGTGTAGGGTAACGAATTTAAAGAACGAAAAAGACTGCGGCGAAAAGTAACGGCAGGAAACTTTTCAAACTTATCAAAAACTGGCATTCAGAAAGTCAGGTATCAATGAAACTACATCCAACATAGATGGGACCATCGTCTTCTTTCAGTCCAGATTATTAGAATGATGTGCAAACCATATTAAAGAACAGTTTAATTGTTTTCTACTTACCACTACAAAACAACTAGGATGGGAGATTGAACTTAGCTACCCGATTGTTATTAAATTCCAAAAAGCAATAACTAGTCTTAAGTGAGAATGCGCAGCGCAGCTCGATGAATTAGCCTCAAAGAATCTTAAGGATAGTGGTCAAGTTTTAGCAGTTAGATTGACAGACATATCGACCAGAATCTGGAGGCTGAATCTTTCAAGTATAGAAGAGGGACAGAAATCCTCTTTTGATAATCGCATAGAGCACAGTTTGACTGATATAATTTCTGAAATACTAGACTCAACAATCACCTAATAGTTACCTAGGGCTTTTATAGAGCAAACCAGGGAGAAGCGCCGGGCTGGTTTCAGAAATCGACGTGAGTGCATATACAAAATGTTTACCCTTCGTCTAGCTCTGGAACACAGAAATACCTGACGAGATCTGATTGTAATGATATTTATTGACACCAAGGCAGCGTCTGACCCTGTTGACATATACTCTATCGGAATTGCTGTCATTAAAAGTCATACCAAAGAGGTACACAGACCTTGTTAACGTTTTTTATTACAACACTACTGATAGAGTCACGGTTCATGGCGAACGCACAACAACTGAATGCTACAACAACTACTACTACTTCTATTTAACTTTGTGGACAAATCTGATCATCATGTGATTACTATCGTATTATTAGGTTCTTATATATTTACCTGACTCAGAATTAACTTGGAAATGTTAGTAGCACAGATGCTTACTTTTAGAAAAGAGTACATTTAAATTACTTTTACCATTACCAGATGATAATATATTTAAGGTAGCTGTTTTTGTTCGGTGTCAGTAGTGCAACCAATCAAAATTCATGTATTTCCATCTAAGTTATACTGTTGTACTCTAGGTTCTTTTTAAATTATCAACTCGTTTCTAAGCTCTTATGAACGTTAGAAATATAGGCACAACTTGTACGGTATGGGAACATCAAGCCGTATTGTTCGTCAATGAGGGTAGGGTTATTACAGTGATTTTTTTATATACATACCATCGATCATAATAAAATTTGTACAGCTTTAATTTGGGAAACAACGTTGTATTTGAACTGTTACTAATATACCTGATACAAAAGAATAAAGAATCATTTACAATAATCGGTCAAATATGAATTGTCTTCCAGGTTAATTTTCTGGTATTTTTAATAAAAATTTTAATCAAATTAGACTCATAACCTTGATAAATTTTGTTAGTTCTATTCTCTTCTTATTAGTTTAAGTGGCCTCCTTGTGTTTTTTAAAATTGTGGCCACTTGTACACATTTGTGCAGAATCTATTGTGTTTGATCAATTTTCATATGGGGGCACGTTGAAATGTTTGTAATTCCAGGGTTTGGAATCCTCTTTATATGATTGTATGTGCAATTGAATGAACGGCTGTTTGTACAAGTAATTTAGTTGTTTGAAATAATCATATAAGTATTTATAAAAAGATTTCCGTTATTATCTCACCATCCGTATCAATGAAGATAATAAGAACGCATTAAATGTCTACCATAATCAAGTGTTATAGCGAAGAAATACGAAATATATGTAAAGAACTAAATTGATTCATTCTAATCATATGGTGTTTTATTAGCTTGAAACAAGAAGGTTTATTGGGAGTAAATAATCATGGCATAGTTGAAATGCATGATTGTGTTGCAAGGATGAAAGCCAGACAAGTAATCTGGAAATAAACCGTGGAAAAATGAGTAATAATTTATCTGATATGATGAATAATTCACTGATTTGAAGTCACCAAATAAGCGAAACCAATCAGTTTAACAAACATACAACTGACTACCAAGGTAGCGAAATTTCGCTCACACTCTTTTTCTGTTAGTCATTTGAAGGCAATACAAAACTAGAAATATGGATTCATTTAATTTTTAAATCTCTTCTCTATCGCTCAAAAGATGCATGAAATTTAAGCTTTAGTTTTTCCATCAAGGGAAATAAATCACTTACATGAAGGTTCTTTTAAAGTAATCAATTAAAATATGTGCTAAATGGTTATCGTAAATGTTTTATTGGATATTAGGTGAAAGTCTTCCGATTACAAAAATCCCACTGCCCAATGGACAATATGAAAATACCACATTCGATTTTCGTTCATGCCCACGACATATTCTGTTCAGTGGCACATCTGTCATTCAGACACGTGGTGATATAAATAAGCGTGTTTTGGCTGTAGTTATCCGAACGGGATTTATGACCACTAAAGGAGAACTTGTGCGATCTATCATGTTTCCGAAACCTATGAAATTTAAATTTACTCAGGATGCCTATCAGTTTTTAGGAGCTCTTTGTGGAGTGGCACTTGTTAGTCTATGTGTCACCATTTATCTCATGGTAAGTTCCTCATAGCTTTTATTACTAGTTTAATTCAAAGTGTAAGAACAATAAAGTCAGTTGGAAAATAATATTTTTAGTAGTAATTATCATTTGATTTGTAGTTTTCCTTGACATTACAGCTGTCTTCGTTTCGTTGAACCGGACTATTCTCTGGGATTGTCTATTGGAGAAGGGTGTGCCTGAGAAGTTTATTAACATCTTGAAAGCCTAATATACTAACACCTCACATAGAATGAGGGTATACAACCAAATCTCTCCATCATTCAGTGTACTTTATGGTGTCGTGATAAGAAAGAATGTTGAACAGGACTGGGTTCTGTTGGTTCTTCATGACTCGCTGGTCGAGGTCCTAAAGATGGTGCAACACAGTGGCTTGAGACATTATCAGACAGTCTCAGAATAGAAGTCAGTGGTGATCCTGCTGTAACTTTTTTTACTTTCGTCATGAAAAATGAACGTAACCTCTTTAACTGAAAGAACTCTTTCTGGTTGTACTTTTGCCAACTGAACCGCGTCTCCGATTATTATTATTTCACTCTCATACACTAATTTCTGTTCGTTTTTGTTCTCTTTTTTCTTGTGCGCACTTTACATCCTCTATCTCTACACATTCTGTTTGTTTTTGTACGGCACATATGTATTTAGTGACCCTTTGTACCGATATTAATGTGTTCACATAAATAAATAATGAATACGATTGCAAAAATCCTATTGATTTTATGAAAGTTCGAAATATATTACGCAGTACTTTTGAGTACACTCTACAAAATCAAGTAATGTGATCCCATAACTTGTTTCACACATATTATTTTGATGTGTTTTGGATTGTGTGTAGAAGTGGAATACAGAAGTCGTATTTTCTTTTACTTGGAAATTGTCAATCGAATGTGTACTTATTCCATAGTTTGCACTCTGAATTTAACTTCGATCGAATTCGGTTCTGAAAATCAGCAACGAGCAAATACAAATGATTACATGTACAACGTTTGTCTGGCTTCTCTGTAGTATGTCACACTATGGATTACTTTACATCTAATAATTTGTTATGAGTAACTTTTTAAAAATTAAAGGTTTCATAGCGGTTTCTTCATTGGTAGCAGTGAAGTTAGTATTGAAGTAGCTATTTGACTTCAAATGGAGAAAATTTGTTTTTTTCCGGTATCGGCTAGAATCTGTAACCAAACATCGTAAAGATAACCTGATAAATATTTCCAAAGTCGATTAATCTCAGTTGCAAAATGTTGTATTAATATTCTTATTTCCTTTTGTGCTAAATCTATGTACCATTATTGGATTTATTGTAAATGGATTGTCATTTAAACACTGGATTTACTTAGTAACTCATTATAATTTATCTCTTTTTATAAGGTTCATTTTGCAAATCTTTTTTAAATTTTAAATGTTGATTTCAACTAGTATTGGAATAAGAAGGAATTGTACTATATTATTTTGAGACCTTTGGACATAGTAACAATTGTGATACCACCTGTTCTGCCAGTGGCGATGAGTGTTGGAATCGTTTTCGCTCAACGGCGACTTCGTAACCACGGTATTTATTGTATAAATCAAAGCGTTATGAATGTTTGTGGTGTGATTAATCTCACCTGTTTCGATAAGGTTTGTGGGTGTATATTACATTTTGTATTCTTCTTGGATATAATGTTTTTATTTTGGTTATCCGTTTATTTGTTCTAATGATGAGTGTGATCGATTCTTTTCACGAAGTTATCGGAATATTGTATTAAGATGGAGTAAAAACAAATTACTGAGTAGAAAATATACATGCTGGTAATTGGAGACGAGTTATTGTTCTGCATTTGTAGCCCAATAGAAGTCTACTTTTTCTGGCTTGTTTTGTAAAGAAGTGGGAACATGAAGTCTTCAACTGTCAAACAATGAACGAAATAGAGTTTCGCACGTCAGAGATTCAGTTTAATTCATTATATATCTAAACAGCACTCTGGCATAATGTGGTAAACGAGCAACAAAATTAATAAAAGTAGAACCTTGCTAGCTGACATTTCATAATCCTCATTTCTTACTGACATTTCGAACGAACAAAATGATGAGAAACAATCAACAACCAACCATAATGACGTTATAGAATGTTGAGCTGTTCATAATCTGCAGAATGAAAAGTGGTAAACATGCTAGCATTGTTGTCGTCAAACTGCAATCATTTCACCAAAGTCTTTAGATTGGTAGAGATTTTGGTTGTGATTACTACGCTAAATCATACACTTCTGACAAGGATTTGATGAGCTGATTTTCTGATGGCAAACTTTAGTTTGTTCATCATGTGGGTTTTGTATCGAACTACCAGTTTAAACATTGGTTAATGGTAGATCACAACACCATAGACTGATTTGTCGCCTTTACTAGGATCATTTGACATGAATGCAAAAAGTCACAAAGGACGTGTATTTTAAAACATCTGGATAGTGACCTTATTTGGAAAATCATGTGTGTAAAAGAGTACTTGAAGTTGAAATGTTGAAATTGGATACGTTGATAGGAGAAAATTCTGATGAAAAGTGTTTATCAAACGAAACTCGTTCACTCGTTGGTTTTGATTTAAACATCAAACTTTCCTATAAAGCACATGAATTCTACTCTGTGTACATCTTTGACTTTTCGAAAAGAAATCAAGTTGTAGAGCGAATTGGTGAGAATGCGTTAACTTATTTTTTGCTCCCATGTTTGTATGGCAAAGAACTCGATTGTTTTAAAACACAAATTTATACCTAACTATCTAAGTTTCCAAATATCATAAATATTTAATTTTAATTATTTACGTACAATGTGTAAATATCACGTTGCGTGATCCTGATCATTTCAGTGGCTTGATATTTTTTCATCGAACAACTGATGTTTCAGTCTAGTATTAACCTCATAGATGATTGATGTATTACGCAGAAAGTAAAAATAAACGCGTTGTCAAACTATTAGAGGGTAGTTAGTAAATCGTATTAAAATTTGGAACTTCTGAATTCTCTAGGAAACTCAATAAACAAATAGAAACTTATGAATTTTGAGAATAAAGCATAAAGCGATATAAATTTCAATAAAGTTATTTGTATGCAACACCCTTTAAAAAAGTATAAAACTGTTCTTTAATAAGACTTTTATAATATTTTCAGTTTTGCTTCAGAATTTTTGAAATACCAAGATTTTGTTCGTTTTCTTCCCTTAAATCCATAAACCTAAGTTTATCTGGTACAATGATATGATTTTTTTCTCATTTGAATGTTATGTATTCACTGAACACTAATCTCTTCTTACAGAGATTGTACTATTTTTAAAATATTACATTTTATATACCTCGTGTGTACTGGTTGACATAATATGGTTTAGCTAGCTGTCTGTCGGTGGCATCACTACTAAAAGTTTCAATCCACGAATAACGTGGTGAATGTTTTATTGTGATTGACTGTATTGTTATATCCGTTTAGTTTAAAACGATTACCCCTATATTTGTACTGTTGGTTGTTTCACTGCTAAAATTATATCGTACAGTTTATTATACAGATAAATTGATTTGAAAATATCACTTAACGTTTCATTTAAAGTCACTGTTCATAATTATTCTACTGTTTCACATGACAAACAGTGCTTTGTTCATCTTGAATTAATGCGTCAAACACGGTTCTTGGAGAAAAATTTAAAATATAAATGTGGAACATTAGTGAATGAATGATTTACTATATATCCCAACATTTTGGTTACTGCATCTGTCAATACATTTCGAACTGAATTTTTAATTAACTAAGCAACATCAAAGTTAGTTGTTTTTCAAAGGAAATAGTTAAATCTTCGAATAGTTTGTTGTTTAATGCTCCTGATTATCTTTTTTTGTGATATTAGACTGGTACTCTCACTGAAGATGGGTTGGATCTGTGGGGTGTCGTCCCAAACAGAGATGGAGTTCTTGGGAAGCCTGAATTTGAGCCATCAAAGTTAGATTATGGACCTTTGGTTGAATGCATGGCTACTTGTCATTCACTGACTCGAATTGATGGCGTCTTATCGGGTGACCCCTTGGATGTGAAAATGTTCCAGTCTACCAAATGGGTAGGTTTTATATTTCCGAATGGTTAGAGTAATTTATACATAAACTTCATATTTTGAAGAGACAAATATACGTACGTGATTTGCGTTCATTTCAATGTTGAGTAATACACGTTTACAAATGTTTATGTCAGAAGTCACTGCATCTATACTAGTGATCTGATTTTGAGATCCCTTAACTGAACTCAGAACGTTACTGAAATTATTCACTCGATGTTATCTAGCTATTGTAGTGCCCCTATTGTTTTCAAACCAAAACGTGGCATCAGTGCTTGAAGTCACTAACTTCTAGTCTGAGCCATGTTGGTAGATGCAGACTACTTGGTTGGGGTCCGCGTGACTTTCGTAACCAATGGTTGGAGACTCTGTGTGACATGGCTCAGAATCGATCACAATGGCGTCGGTGTATACACTCCCTGTCTTCCCTTAAACTAAGAGATTAAAATCGCTTCATATCTTTCTTTCTACGAACCAATTCTTTCTTCTTGTACTATATCTCTATATGCAATCTTTCTCTTACATATTACTACCTTTGACCTAACCACTGCTATGAATCCGGTGTTCATCTTGTTGTGCTGATGCGGTATGGCAACCTGGACCGATGCACATATGTGCCTGGTCCTACGTTGTAGCTGACTGACTGACTGACTATTGTTTTCACCTTATTGAGAACTACAATTATACTGAGCAAGTCTTTTACTTCTTTCATAATTATGGATAAGCTCACAATAACTGGATTCCATTTGTTCCCTGTATTTCAATCGTTGGATGTAATGGTTTTACAAGAATTAGAATAAATGTCTTTAGAATCATTTGTTGCGTTTACGTTTGATGAATGCAGCTGACAGGTGTGATATATAGTTTCCACAGAAATTTGTCTTAAAAGATCAACGTTTAAATACAAACATATAAGCCGGTGACCTCGATGTTCTACGTAGATGAAGGGATGATGTTGGGGGCTATTCGGCTCTATTTATTCACAAATTTATGCCTGTACAGCAATACCAATGATTGTCAGGTACAATTTATTACCACCTATAAGCTATTCTATACTCCACGCATGGTGTTTACAAGGTTAACTGTGAATATGTTCGAGCTGGATACGTTTCACAAAAACGTGCTCCGGAGTCAAGAACTGTTTGTAATATTTAAATTGTCTTGTACTTGTGAAGGTGTACAGATCGTTTAGTTTGCTTTTATTTCTTTTAAATAAATATCTTCGTAAGCTAAGCATTATTACCTTAATCTAAATGTACATAAAGCTGTAAATCGATTTTTATCTTTATTTACTGGCACATTATCGATCTCTGATTGATAGGAATTTATCGAAGTTATTTCGGAAGATCAACATAATTTTGATTTAGTTATATCGGCAATAGTACGTCCCAAGAAGGATGAATGTGGTGATACATTTAAAGTAAGTCTCAGTTTCGGACAAAAATTTTAGCTCATATTGTTAATTTGTCTTTCCTATTACCGATTCCTTATTCATTGATGAAAAGGTTTTAATATTATCCATTTGGCGCCTTTCCCCTCTCCTTTTATTTCCCAGGACCTTCTAAAGTTGGTCTATCTACTCTGTGTCAGGAGTTTTGTTATTATGACGTAAATTTTCACTGTCTACTCGACAATCAATATGTAGAAGCTTCCCCTTAGGTATTCTTTTGTAAAACGTGTTTTTCACATGTGCTTTCTACGTAGCGATATATAACTAAAAATTCCCCTCGATTTATCCGTGAAAAATTCAAAGTGTCTGTGTATGAAATAGGAATAAAGTATGTGTGCTTTTAATCTTTAACGAAGCGTATAACTAAAAAAATATGCTGCCAAGTTGAAATAATTGACTAATCTGATATACGTCCCTAAAAGGATCGCTATTTATTCACAGGTATTGGATATTCACTTTGCAAGCATGAACAACTATTCTACCTCCTACGAAAAGTTAGACTGGGCCCACCAGTGAGGATGACTTTCTGACCGACTTCAAGAAGAAAGAATTTTTCAGAATACAAGATTTAAATAAATCAATAAGTAGCTTGTTCTTAAAGTACATTTTTACTGTAGGTTATTTTTCATAGGTTGTAATCTAAACTTAGTGACTAATTTATATGCATTTCGTTTTTAGAAGATACCGTATGAGATCGGTATAGTACGTCAGTTTCCTTTCAGTTCGTCTGTACAACGGATGTCTGTGATAACACGTACTTTAAATGAATCTCAATTTCATGTATATACAAAGGGCGCTCCAGAGACAATAGAAGTTTTGTGTCGACGTGATACAAGTAAATAATCACTTTGATGTATGAACCCATATTGTGTTATTTTATAATTTTTACAAATTGTATTTCCTTTATTTTGAAAATATTAAGAAGGAAGTGCACATGACAAATCTAACTATATAGAAGTAAAGCCAACCGCATTCGAAGGTGTACACGAGTTACGTGTAAATGTGAAACTTCTCAGCTTACAAAATCCTTATCATGAGATAACACATTGAACCGCCGATGTATGAAACGTTATTTTCTGAAATATCATCAGGCTGTGTATTTTGTTGCTGATAATCTGTAATTCAGTTTACGAGGGCACAATAATCGTTTAATTGAAATAATTGTTTCCATCGGAAGTAAGCTAAACGTTTAAGCCAAACTATATTCTTCTGATAGATTAAATGATCTCATTTTTTATTAAAACCGGAATATTTTAATGTTTATAACACAAAAGTTGAATTATAATTTGATTCTTTCAATGAAATTCACTTCAGTATACCTACGTTTTTAAGTAATAAGTTTACTATTGTACTTTACAGTAGTTTCTAGGTTCGTGTGATTAAAAATCGCCGTCATATACTCATTTGGAGTTTTGAGAATTATAGCGTATTTATAGCATTGGTTATTCAAATTTCCGTTTAATATTTTTCCATGTACTAAAGTAAATCGCAATAAATCTCTTGAAAATGTATCTGCTTGTTGTAATATGATCATTACAGTTAATTTGACTTATTATTTGTTTTACAGTAGCCTTGTACCTACACTTATTAGCAGCAAATAATGATAATTCATGAATTAAACATACAACATGTAACAGTAAATGTTTATTAAAAATCATGTATTATAATTTATTATAATGAGTATTGTTGAATAAACGTTTCTGTTGCAGTACCTACTAATTTTCACTCAAATTTGTTGGAATTCACTCGAGAAGGCTTTCGCGTTCTGGCATTGGCTTGGCGACCTATCAAGGCATCATATTTACGTATTATGCGCATATCGCGTGACCGAGTTGAACATAATCTTCTGTTTCTGGGACTACTGGTGATGGAAAATCGACTGAAACCTGAGTCTGGTCCGGTTATTAAAACTCTACGCCAAGCGAATATACGACCGGTTATGGTAACAGGTGACTTCATTAGTGTTTGCTCCCAAGCATCATTTTAGGCAAATAGCTGATAAAATTTTAACTACGATGAGTGGGACACCAACAGTCTACCTCACTATAGGAAACATAAAGATTGTGGTGGAATAGATAGCGAGAGGTCGTACAGTCAATAGATAAATCAACAAGAGATACAGTCCAATAACGAAAACAACCGAGGTCGATTATGTTCAGTTAGGAAGATGCACTTTACTTTTGTGAGATATATAGTTGAATACCATGAGGAAATCAGTACTAGGTTTTATTCTGAGCTATATATGACTGTCTTGGATCAGTGAATTTTATACTATGAAAGATACCACTTTATTAACTTTCTTTTCTTTTTATTCACTCAGTACAAAAGTCTGTGAATTATAGACGGTATTGAAGTTGCTGTAACGACATTCGTAAAAGTAGATCCAAGCGGTCAACTCGAGGCGATGATACCAAATAAGTTGTAATGATTAGGTCTGAATACATTACCAAAACTCATCATCATTTGTATGTATTTACCACCGGAAGCAAGCAGTCAATCGGAGATATTGATGATGGGATACGGAAGATCGCCAAATATCGTCAGTTGAAAAAGACTAGGCTGAACAAAAATAGTGTAAACCTTTTTCTGAGAAACCGGTGTCAGGACATTACTAAAACCGGTCCTCTTAAGACGGTATATAGAAAAATGTTTGCAGTGCTAAATGCCTCAAACTGAAGCAGGCGATTGTCTTAAAGGTTTTCAACTTATCTTTTTGGACCATTTATCTCCACCAACCTTGTTTAAATAGTGAACGTTCCTCTTCATTCCTCCTTTAATAATAATAATTTATATTCTGTAAATAATAGTTACAGAATTCACGCCAGTTTACAGGCATGATCAATTTGATATAAATAGCAGCATTAGATGTACAGAACAAACATGTGATAGAAGAAAGTTTTAGGTATACTAGTTCAGTGATTGTTTAGGTAGTACATGTATTACAGCTATCCAATGCATGAGCTGGGAATTTTTTAATATTTCTTAAATGGACAGCCCGTTGATTTATGAACGGAGTAATTAAAGTCATTTCGTGTGTCAGATCGAATTAATGATAATTATCTACAACTAGAGAAATCAAAATGAAAACAGAGAGCACGGAACAACGAAGCAGTAATTACCAAAATACGTCAATCAGGTCTACAAAAATGCGTGTGTCATGTGACACAGTGATATACTGTTGATGTTATTCAAATTAGTTAAACTTTCTGGGAGTTATCCAGACATATGAATGTTCTGTGGCTCTTTCAGAATAACCAGCCATGTGAGGTTATTTCTGGAGGAATGTTAAACTCTTACCTAGTTCGTTTGTACTGTTCGACATGACAACAAGTAGATTCGTGAAGAATCTTATTATTTAAAGAAGGCATGTGTGTCCAACTGATATTGGCTGGTGAATTATTGAAATACAAACCTAAATAATTACTTCGCCCTATTTTAGAATTAACCATTATTCCGGATCATCCTGGTGATTACGACATCATTAAGTCTCTGAATCTAATGGTAAATGCTTGAAACTTCACTGCTTCGATCCACAAATTCTTTTGGAAAGGAAGTTTAAGAGATATTGGTCAATCAGGTTATTTCTTTTTATTTTCATATGCTCTGACTTACCTTCAGGCAGAAGTACGTGTACCGTTAGTATGACAATAATAATTTAAATAACCATCAGGTCATAATTGCCTTCCTAACTCTTGGCATTTTGAACATCAGAGTATTTTGTTAGATCCTTTTGGGATAGAAGTGTTGATATAACAGTATGAATAGATCTGAATTTATAAATAAATTGGCATAAATTGTCTTATAGAACTAGACAGTAGTAATGATACAGGTCAAAGATATTTATAAAGTTGTCACAAAGATAGAAGCTTTGTGAAAGGATGTAAAAGTGCATTTGCTCATGTCTTGTTAATTTCCATCATCATAGCATAATAACTTAAGATTGAAACATTGTCAACTAATATATTTATAATAGTCTAAACGAGGTATATCATTTTTAAGGTGAAGAGTTTATAAGTTAGTTTGTGGCGTCATCTGTATATAATTTCGACTCACATATAACACTGTTGACTGCCTTTAAAAATTGACGCGGCCGATACTTTAAACTAATTTCACAAATTGTTTCCTGTGAAATGTTTGCCACTTCAATCAAAAGTATAAACCGGTTTTGCGACCCAAGTAGTAGTAAGTGTAAAAAGTTGAAGTTTTCTGCCAGTTTGTGTCTATTTACTTCAATGACTTGATAATTGCTTTTTGGCTTAAAATCGGCAAAAGTACTTATGTATCTTTTATGAATATTCGTTATAATCCAAAACTTTTATAGTTTGTCGATATAGACTTATTTTAATGATACATATTTAGCAATAATTTCTATTAGTTCTGTCAAATATTGTTTTTAGGTGATCATATGCTTACCTCTCTTTCTGTGGCACGAGACTGCGAAATGATTGATGAACTAGATCGAGTTGTCATTGTGACAGCTCGTCCACCACCTTGTCCTGGTAATGATTTTGATTCAGATGTGTTAAATGAAAGTCAACCAATCCCTGTACCAAATATTGGACTTTCTACTGAAAAGAATCCAAACAACATTCAGGATGCTACCAATGGAGGAAATATTAAAAATTTCTCAGATGATCTTATCAATTCCCTTGTTCAGTTTCACTATGCAGAAGACTTAAACAGACCGGTTACTGAAGTTGCGACAACTAGCATTCAACTGAAGCGAAACCTAACTAAAACTGACAACAGCGAGACATCGAAACAGTCATTTTCCAAGCGATTGAAAAAAAGATTTAATTTTGGTCGATTACAAAGTCCGTCAAAAGCTTTTACTAGGTACATAAATGTTTTATATTTGCTTTGACCATTTAAACTTGCGTATGTCAGTAGTGTTGAGTTGAATAAATCATCATTGGTACTATTATTGCTCTAAATATAGTTATTCTGCATTCATAGTCTTGCATCCCTGTTAAATAAAGACTTAATCTGCCAAATGTTTTTGGGAAAACATTATTCATATTTAACTAGTCAAACTAGATGTAAAATAAGTAGTTCACTTAAGATGCCGTTCCTTACTCTTATATATTGTGGAACTAGATTTTCATTCTATTTATTATCCACACTATGTTGACATTTATATTTTGTATATGGAATACTGATATATGTTGTTTCATCTTAGCAGTGCCCATCCACTACTCCTTTGTAATCTCGTAATACGATAAAAGAGCTATCCAGTCCTTTCTATTTTTGAATGATTGTCTATCCGGAGTCAGTGTCTACTGTGAAACTTCAAATCCAACAATCATTACAACACCCTGTTTTAAAAAAATATTGGTAACTGTGCTTTAATGTTTTTTTGCGAAGTACTGAAAGTTTTTGACGATGTCCTACAGTGTAATGTTACATGTTATGACATGTCTATTTGTTTAAGATAAGTTTATTTCAAGTTATGTTTGACTTCTAGGAAATTTGAAATATCCCGCTATTAATGCTACAACAAAACGTATGTATTAAAGGAATGATTAACTGACAAGTTATTTAAGCCTAACATCATTTATCTTTCTGGCAATACGTATTAGGTAGTGAAGGATTGAAACTCAGTTGTTTCTCATTGTTTGAATATCATTTAGACTGATACTTGACGAATAGAAATAATTAATGAAACCGAGTAGAATTCTGAATTTTGAAAAACAAAGTTAAATTATGACAGGGTATGAATGAAACTGTAAACGAACAACGTACTTCTTTTAAATACAAGGTAGATTTGAAACGTGAATCACCAACAATTTTCTTGAGATTACAGTTCACTAGGAGTTTTCTTATGACTATTCAGAAAACAGTTTCTTTCTAATAGAAAAACCATATTGTGATATTTTTATACTTGTAATGGTACTGACAGTCTTCCCGGAGCTGTCTTTTTTAAGTGATTTGGAATTAATTTAGTTCGCTTCATTTCATTAACATGATGTTCAACAAAATGAGTACTTTATAGGAAAATCTATGGTTGAATGCGATTCATACGTTTGGCCGTTCTTTTGATATTTATGCATTTCATAAACCGAAAAACAGGCTTTGAACATGATAACGTTTTTTTCAACTGAACCTTGTTCGAATTTGACAAAATCAAGTACACAATTGTATGATTTCATATAATTTTGTTTATATGAATCTTAATTATCTCTAGTTTAGAATATATTATGTAAATGAAACGAGTGAAGTTAACAATTAGTAACTCTATTTTAATTGTTCAGTTTGTCCATATTTCGTCACTATTCGTCTTAACAAAAATATTTGAACTGGCGCTTCACAATGTAAATTAAATATGATTATGTCAGCCATTTTCTAGCTAATTTTAAAATCTATATGTTTAAACTGAATTATCACATAATTACGTCTTGACAACCGTATTTTATTGTAAACATTTCACTGAGCCTTGATAACTTCTGTTTGAAACAGTTAGACAAGATTTAGGAATACTGCGAGCACTAACGCCATTAATGATCAAAGGCAATTTAAAATAGATTGGTTCTATGAACAGGTAAAAGTTTTGACAAGAACCTAAAAGTACTCGACTGATAAATAACGTTGCGTTAAGTACCAAAACACTGACTAAATTAATTCACTAGTTATCAACATTTGGAATGAACAAAGTGATGAGAAAAACATAATTAATTCGCATTGAGTGTTGAGCTGTTCATAATCTGCAGAATGAAAAGTGGTAAACATGCTAGCACTGTTGCCAAACTGCAATCATTTCACCAGTCTCTAAATTCGTAGAGATTTCGGTTGTGATTAAGCTCAATCACGCTTAATCACACACTTCTGACAAGGATATGATGAACTGATTTTCTGATGACAAACTTTAATTTGTTCATCATGTGGGTTTTGTATCTAAATACCAGTTTAAACATCAAAGTTTCGAAATAATTAAACATCACCGGATCACCTCAGTAGTCCTTCGATAATATTTACATTCATATATATAGCCCTCGTGTTATACAGTACTGACTGTAACGTCGGAGAAATAAGTTGATATATGGTGAATTGACAAGTTGTTTATTTCTTCATAAATAAAAAATAGGTCTTACCTTGTGATTCAGTTTGTTGATTTTCGTAAACTATGCCCCATTCATCTCCAGTGTCTGATTCACTCCTTAACTAGAAGATGAATTGTTTTCTTCCAGAGTAGAGTATTTCTGATCGACTCTTTCCAATAAATCTGGAGTATCTTGCGTAAATAGTTGATATGAAAACTTGTAACTTTTCAGTGATGATGGTGATATTCCCCTACTTTTTAACGTTATCGTTAAGAATTCTGACTTTTGTGCTGACTGACAGTACTTTATAGTTGAAGATATTAATTAATTAATAATCACCCCTAAGGTTGATTCATTGATTAGAAAGAATTCCAGTTATGTCGTTTGCACCATGAAAGCTTAACTGCACACAGGAAATGTGTTTTTTCAAGAAAAATCTACTTTTATTCTTTCATTATAAAATAATCTACATATTGACTGCTTTAATTTTTTTTCATTTTGTTAATGATCTTCACTAGTTGGATATACACATGCTTATCCATATCTTTCTGCTGAACCGCCTACAATGAGACTTTTGAGCATGGTAACAATGATTTCATTATTTGGTCAAGTGATAATTGGTTTTATTATTCAGGCAACTGCATTCATATTGATTCGCTTTCAATCTTGGTATGCGATTTCGTTGAATTTTATTTCTGACTGCACGTTGTTAGCGAATTTGATTGTTAGTTGCTTGCATTTTCATATTTTTACATAAGTTGTAGAAGAAAATGTAAATGCCAGTTAACTGTAAATGTATGTAATACCAGTCCAATACCTTGCTCATGAATATTCATATTATGAGAAACATTTTGTACATTCAGTTTTATCCCAGCTATATTGAAGAACTAAATAAAAATTCAAGTTGACTTTTACACATTTTGATGTGTTTGCAAACAGATATTGAACCCATGTAAGATGGTTGTATGCAGTAGATAAGATACTTCAGATCTAGGTTTGGTGTCGCTTTGTACTTGTTAGTGAAATTCTTAAACCATGAAAAGCACTCTTTTTGTGAACATGATTGCATGACTAGGCAACAAAATTAAAGTTAATTGGAAACTTGGAACTTAGCTTACAAACTGAACGGAAGCACAGTTTAACGTTTGATTGAAGTTGTTTTATGCATGCATTTTGCCTTTATGGGATATGCTTTTTCCTAAAATTTATGGTGTGATGTGTAAACCAAGTAAGAAAAATGTTTTTGAATTGTTTTGAATGTAGTGAATTATTGGTCGATTTATTTTTCACAGACGTAAACCGTCGATCATTTACTCTTAAATTTTTGTTCGATCTGTTTGTAACATTGAGGGAATTTACCATTCTTTGATCATTCTTTTAATAGGTATATGCCGTTATATTCGTATTCTAATACAGCTGAGTATAAAAACTACGAAAATGCGGCTGTATTTATAGTCTCCACCTACCAATATATAATTTTGGCCATCGCCTTTTCAAAAGGAACACCATATCGTAAATCATTCTTAACGAATTGTAAGTTGTTTGTGTTTACATAAGTATTTATTAATGACGTAGATTGTTAGGTATTAAAAACGTGATTTTACTGGGTGTATCAATGTGGTAGTGAGATTTCAACTTATAATTTAACATACAACGATCCCTTTGTGATGATAATGTTAACACTTGTTTGTTGTTCTTTATCCCATGGAACTAATTAGTACATAATTTTCTGGTTTTATCTTAGATTCGTTTTTTTTCATCTGTAGGTTATTATGCGGAGATGTTGCTACACTACTTAGTTCAGGTAGAAATTATTCCATCAAACGAATTGGGGAAATTCACTTCATTTGAATTGATGCGTTTCCATCGCACAACGTTTCTTTGAATTATATTCATAGGGACTTAGTAGTTCTTTAGTTATTATAACATTTACCAAGTAATTTACATATGTAACTCGGACTAGTTAATTGTATGAAATATTCAATTCATTACTATGTCAATAGTTTTAAAACACTATTCGATGAATATAAACTGGCTGCTTCTTACTAATCAGCGTGTTATTTGAATTTCCAATTATGGTTATGTAATCCGTGTTTGACTATAGTATCCACTTTTGAATGATTCCACGACTTACTTCACACACATATGTTCTTGTTTGATCTCTAAACAGTTTTAAAGATTTACAATACACTAATCTTTTGTTTCTCTTGTGTTTTATTTCAATAGATGCATTTGTGCTGAATATTTTGGTGTGTTTTGCGTTAAGTCTTTACTTGACAACTTATCCAGTTAATTGGATACTTGAACGTTTACAAGTAAGTTTATGGAAGACTAGGGTTTCACCCGAAGTAATATACAAGTAACTTGGTTTCAATACCGGCTATAATTTTTATTTGGGTCAGTCATACTCAGCATAAAGTCTGGGACAATAAAACTTAACGAAGATTGACACATAATGCAGATTCTCACTCTCGCTCACCTAATAGCCAGAATAGAACACAATTCAGCAAACAGATAACGTCGAATCATACAATATACAGTTGCTTTCTGACCACATATCAACACTACTAAGAAATTAAAATATAATCTCAATGATTGGTCCTTAATCAAGTAATAGTAGTTTAACAAACGCACAACACATTGTTTTATACATCACGTCAAAGCTTGTAATTCGGCGAATACCAAAATACAACAGTTTATGTATTTAATAATCATGCGACCGAAATGTAAACAGTAACCTCAGATAGGATCGTTCCGAAAGTTCAACCTTTCTTGATGTTTATTCCGTTATAACGACAATGTAGTATCAATGGTAATGAGTAGAACTAAGTTTGGAAAGACTGAGTGATAATGTATATTTGAAGGAATACTTAGATTCAGAACCTAGAGAATTTGAAGTGATTGGATCATTTGAACCTCTGAACCATTTTATTCAACGTTTCTTACCATTACTGCAAACAATGCTCATATCGACAGTCAATAATTTCTTTTTCTGACACCCTGTCTAGGTTTGGCAGCCTTTAACTTTCTTCTGGTTCACTCCTACTTCAGATAACATTGGAGTTCGAGGTAGTTGATAGCTGTTCATACGAAATATGTATCCCAGCCACCTCATTCGATTAAGATCTACAATTTTACCGACCTATTGGTATCTTTGTCTTATACTCTTTGCCTAACCTTTTTATTGCTCACTCGATAGTCCCATTAAAATGCGACACTGAAACAAAGATAACCAAAATCAAAAGTCTGTAGCCTATGCATGTCTTCTACTTTTATAGGCTATGTATCACATGCATAGAGCAATTCAGAAAAGACTGCCACTCCGTAAACTGGCCCTATGGTTAGCAGAAGTAAAGAAACACAATTAAATTCGGCATTTTTCTTTCCATACCGTGGTGATTTATCTACATTTAACCGATACATTGATTATTAGTTCTCAAACTAGTTTAATTTTATTCAGTTTGCTGTTCATAGGTTGCAAATTAAAACCGAGTGATTATATGGGTTAATATTTTAAGACACCATGCCAGTCAATCCGATTCCTCTTAATTTTGCACAAAATAATTTCAGTCCCTTCTTATCTGAGATCAAAACCGGTTACATGGGATTACATCCAACTCCAAGTCGCTGGCTAGTACTTAAGTGCTAAAACTAAACAACCATGCTTATGAACTTCTGTAGTCCACTTATCAGTTTCTTCTGGTCTCTCCTACTGCAAGTTAGGAATGGTTTTTTAAATCCCACTAAGATCTGGGGGACTTCTGATTAATTCTCATTTACGTTGTTTATGAAAAGTGTGTAACTGAAGAATAGCTGGAGGCTATTTGAACTGTTCCTAACAATCTTTTGCTAATCCTTCCGATCTTCTCAGTTTTATCTTTTTCGAAATATTATGACAAATAACTAGCTTTTCGTACCCATTCCCTTGTTGACTCGGGTCAGTTTCCTACAAGTTCTCAACTTCTCTGCCTTTCTCTTCTATTTTTTCTTTGTCCACCACTGCTCATAATCACAAACAATATTCCTTTTAATGACCTAGAAGTATGTTCACAGATCCCACAAGACAGTGTGATGAAGCAGATCCCACTTTTCATGGGCAGATATTGATGTGTATCTTCCATAAATTCAAGACATTACTGACAGTGATGGAAATCCATAGTGTTAGGTAGGGGCATAGGCTTATGAATCATCACTTGCCCATTACCATTTGCTTTGAATTCTAATACTGTTTCTTAATCATTGACGAGCACCATTTTTAAATAAGGTTTTGTTTTTTGTAGGTAAATTTCATATTGTTGTAATTTATGAATAAATGATTATTTTCTCATACAAATGTTGATATTCATGCACAACTGGTACTCAGTCACCAATAAAATACATCTTTTATTGTAAATGGAAGAATGCTTTGTGCTCAAAATATGCTAAGTTTTACTGTTCATATTTACTTTCAATAAAGAATATCACTCTGAAATCTCAAACATTGTTTGAGTGAGCTTTGCCTTTCAGTCATTACTAAATTGTATTTAGCAGTAAAAAATAAAACACTCTTTTCATCTTGCTAAACTGTTATGTTTTAAGTGTTGGTATATATGATGGATAGTCACTGTTCCAGCTGGTATTTGTACTCAACAATCATAGCTCTGAGCACACGATCATTAATCTCTAGGATGATGAGTTACAGTAATTACGTCATGTTCAGCATACATTATTATTCATTCTGTTTCTTAAAACCATACTATTCAGCATGTGTCATATGACTACGATTTCCTATGTTGTATACATTTTTTGATCCTTCCAACCAATTCTTTCTACCTAAAAAAAGGAATTGTTATACCAGTCTCCATTTTAAAATATCGCGTTTAGTTCTCGAAAAATTTTGTTATCTACAGTTCTGCTTCGTTATTGAAATGTTTGTTAAATATTACCGATTCGAAAAGGTCATTACCGTTAATGGTATACTTTGTGAATTCTCAAATCGTGTCTAAACCTGGTATCTTCTATATTTTCGTTTTGCTAATAATCTTACAATTCATTATTGACAATGAAAGTAGAATTTCGTAATAATTAATTCATAGAGAATGTGATCTAGCACAATCATCACTAGTTGATGTAACGTCTTTTTGACAAAATTACCTCATTTAAATTACTTAAACACCTTAGTTTAAAGGACTTTATTGTTTGTTTGTTTTTTGTTTTAAATATATATTAGGACGTTTATGTTACTTATAAAATGATTTACTACATTTCTTCAAAATGAAAACTGTTGTTGTGGTTACATTGAATTGACATAATGAGTGAAGGTTGCATAAATTTATGTATTTAATCACTAGATAGCGAACAAAATGTTGGTGAATTCTGTTTTTGAAAATTTTTATCTTGAACCAGTGAATATTTAAATTGTCATGAAGAATTCCCTTTTTACGTGGCTTCATCTGATTTTCAGAAGAAAGTATTTTTGTGCCGATAAAACTCACCCAATACCTTTGTTCGTGTTCGAAAATAGTAATGTTAGCTGCTTAAAGTAACCCTTTGAAATGATTCTAAAGCAGTTAAACATGTAATTTTGTTTTACCAAACAAAGAAGTTTGAATGTTAATTAAAGTTCCACTTTGTAACGTGCATAAGCCTTTGTCAATTTAATTATATATATATACATGTCTTGATGAGTGAATTCCTGAAACGTAATAGATAGACATTCTGATTGTTTATCACGCTGTACAAAAACCTTCTTGTTCGCGTGACCAAAGGTTCAAACGTCACGGTAACAACATGACAGTAAGACGTCATCATTAATACGTAATTTTTTATTCGATTTTCGACCGAACAGGCTTTTTCCAAACCATGTGTAATAAACTGTTTTGATCCACTAGTGTATTTCTGATATAATGGAATGCAGTTCAAGTGTTATCATAGTTGTATAACCATTTGTTATTTAAATCAATGGTAATGAAATATGTTGTCTAGTGAGTTTGGTTAATAAATCAGTTTTGAAGAGTTTAGTTTTTCCTCTTTTCATTCAATTCAGATTTTGTTATAGGGCAATCGACATTATACCGATGGTCACATAGTCAATGGTATTTCTGTATTTATTCTATTCTCTGAAATGATTTATTATTTGCAAAGTTAGATTAGAACTATTAAACAAGAAGACTAAGATATTCAGTCACTATGTTTTCAGTTACAATGAAAATCGTTTATAAAATATGAGGATATTTTCAGAGTCAAATATATATTGAAATTGTTTTTATCGATTATAGTTAGTCCGAATTCCTTCTATTTGGTTCATACTCATTTTACACTCCATGGTTTTGGCGAATTTTATGGCTAGTTATATTGTTGAATCAATTGTTGATGGAGTCTCTTTTCGACGTCGTATACGTCGCATTCGTCGAGCACTATTTCCAAGGTTAGTCACACCATACATAGTATCTTTGTACGACTTCGATTCATGTGATAAATGCATCAAGAAGAAGTAGGGGTATTTCATATTCGTTAATTTATTTTTACTTCTTAAAAGATGCTTAGTGTGAAATCAAAATGTTTGGACAGTATTTATATGATGTACATGAGTTATCATTACGGAATTTATGGCTGTCTTCGATGAAGCGTGTTATTTTCTCTGAAAAACCAATAAACAGCGAAATAGCGTAATTTTGATTTCACGAATCTGAGAATCTTCTCTTAGTTCCTGGTGTTTCTATTGTTGCCGAGGGGTTACTGAGGTGGAACACTTTTGTTCATCGTGAATAACCGGAGAAATTTTTATTTGGAATCGAAAATGCTTCAAAGTAACTTGACGCATATTGTACAGATTTATCGTTCATACGATCAACACTACACAAGCTGACTGACAGATCAGAATCTAGTTTATAAATTCAGCATTTTGGCGAAAAAATTAATGTACTGCAAAAAGGCGTAGATGATTTTTTATAACAGTCTATTTGAACGAACTGAATCAAAGAACTCTCAAACTACTGAATTCAAATTAAATAAAATGCTACTATAAATGCTAATTTATCGGTCTCAAATGAAAGTAAAATGTTTTGAATCTTTAAATCAATTGTCATTTTGTCGATAAGACTTCAACATTTGTATCCGTCATTTTATTTCGGTTAAATCTATTAAAATACTCTTCATTAAAGTGTTTTATACTTCATTTTAAACAAGTAATAAATCTCTAAAACCAATTAATTTTCGATAAGATGAATATACTGTGACATTGACTAGTTTCAATTTTACAGTTACAGGTTAGCTGTCTTGTTCAATGACTGGAAACAACTAGTAGACTCCTTGCAAAGTTTTTATTTCGGAAACATTCCAAATGTCGAAACCTGTAGAAATAATAACACTGAAGCTACATGGTTTGAGGAAAATGCATCTTCCTTCGACCCGTCAGAGATATAAATAACTTAGACTATTTTACAACAGCTAATTGGCTAGTATAAATTCTCAAGGCGTTAAACAGAAAAATTTTTAGGTACAGTGTAAAGGGTTCCCTGGAGTTCGTCGATCATCTAAGAAATTTGTTGATCAAAATAACTTCATGATATTACTAGATTTAATGTCTGTATTCATTGACTTTCTTCTTCTGGAAACTGGGAATTCCGTTTGCAGTTAGTCTATATATATAATAATGCACAGCAATGATAAAATACTAACTGTAAAGTAATTTTTTCTCTCAATTTTCATTTAATTTTGAAAACGTGATAAGCTTTGAATACTTTCTATAATGTTCACTTATCGTGTAAAGTGTTTTTAAAATGTCCAAAATATTTACCACGGTATTACTTTTATGATCTAATCAAGACGTGTGGAACGCAAAGCTTATGAGCGAATTCGAGAAGAAATTGACAGGTCAGCTGGTGTTTGGCCTCCCCTATTAAGATCTGCCAGTCTACAAGCATTACCACGGGATCTGTTCACTGATGAAAATTTAGACGTGACTACTCGTCCTAGAAGTAGACGGCTCTCTTCTGCAGTATCGAATGACACAGATGTAGATGTTGCTTCTGTTCAAAGTGAAATAACTGACAGACGACAGCTTCCCTTTAGCAGCACAGACGGTGATATCGGTCTGCATAAAGTTGTCAGTAAACACTTTTCTAATCAAATGAGTGTAAATGAAAATCCAAATCAAACTTTTACTCTTGGTGGTTCTTTAAAGAAGCGCAATCTTTCAGTGGTAAGGAATTTATTTGGTAATTACTTCATAACTATTGTGATATTTACTATACATGGTATGCAACCTGGTGTAGATACTATTATTTGAGTAGTTTATATACCATATTGAAAATTCTTGATATTCTAAGAAAAAGGGCATAGTTTAACTACTGGACTTAATTCCTATATAATTCCTTCAGGAATATTTATCAATGCTGATAGGTAAGACAACCAACTACCTTGATAAATTGCGTTAAGACTAGATTGTTCATTTCCCTAAAGCGAAAATAAAATTGTTGAAGAAAGTTGTATTGATTAGTTTAAACAATGTTTTGTCTTAACCTCATAACAAACATATTTTGTATATAAATAGGAACTTTTAGAGATAAAAAAATGAATAAGTATTTAACACTTGTTGCTTCACCTTCATCAAAGCGTTTGTTCAGGATGTAGGTCTTGATAATATGTCATTTCAGTTTACGATACAAAATGTCCTGAAAGGTGTAAATCATATTTTGTATTTCTGGTCGTTCGTTTCATAAAACTCTTCAAATGTTTTTTTTCCGTTGTCTGGTTTATGCCAAAAACTTTGAATATATTTTATCAAATATTTGGATTATTTAATTTGTATTTTCTGGGCTCTTAATATGACGACAGCATGAAAAACATCTTCGACACTAGATGATAGTGTTGACAAACTTTACTTTTTGAGATTTGTCAATATCTTATTATCCTTATTTTACATACCTTTTACATGAATATTGTTCTTTCATGGTGTAAAGTTATTGCACATCAAAGGATTTCTTGCCAACTACTTACAACTAATTAACATCAAAACAGTGTGACTGATTTCAATTCATTTATACTATTTCTACGTTTCTTATTGATGGATAGACCTCGATCAGTACTAAGGACTCGATAAACATGAATTGGTTACTACTGATTGGTCGATCCGTGTAAAAGTAGTCGTTTTTATCAAAAATATCCATGAAAGTAGTTAAGGTTATTTTCAGTTTAGTATAGGTAAACAATCGCATTTTTATCTGATCATGGTCCAAGTAATTCTCACAGAGATCACTACCTGTTTATATTTCTGTATTTAATTGATAAAGTATTGACTGGCACTTTTTCATTTGTGTTCGGTTATTTGAGAAGGATAAACTGCTTTAATCTTCAAGCTTGTTGTCCAGTCGTTTTATGAGTCTTTCGATTAATCACAAAATGAGATTATTTTCAAACTGGGTGATGACGAAGCCTTGCATCACATATCTCAGAAGAATTATATAATCAAATCATTCTCTGTGATAGTTCCAGTCAATATTTGGCCATGTATTTTTCCCAAATTAAATGTTTTTTAAAAGTGACTTCATGGAAATTCTGCATCTGTACTTCTTGTGATTTGATCAGCTTTGGACACCGATAAAGCTGGCGCAAGTGTGTATGTCTTAGTTGCTATATCGCTTCAATGGGATTCACATGAATATTGAACACTGACAGTTAATTACTTTGCTGTATATTTGTTTGAATTAGTGATCCAAGTTAATACTGCGTCTTCATCATATCTTCAACATATGAGTGGTTTCTCAAAGTATTTTTTGAATACTTATTTTCATTCTTATATGTTAGAACCAGTCTAACATTCTAAGGCAAACTAAGCGTATACGCTAGTTCACTTCGATTGGTACAGAAATTTCGAAAAGCATAGTATTCTTTCATTTGAGTCAATTTTTTTATTAAAATGTTAGAAAGCGAAACGTGTATTAGCATAAAACAAAATTCATTACGATCAGTGGTCCTCTTAACAAATGTCTAAAAGCGAAACAATATTCCCAGGAGTTTTTGTCTCACATAACCTAGTGCTCATATTTTTATTGTTGTTTAGGAAATTTCCTTTACTGCTTTAGAATTAAGTACGTTGATCGATTCCATCTAGCAACCAGTTCGTGTAAATAATAAATGATTCAAACCTGTGAGTGCTTCTGCGAAAGAAAATGTTATGAAATTCCCAAATTTTAATTGGCAAGATATGGATAAATTATTTGAACAGGTCGAGTTTTTAATGAACCAAAATGCCATCATATTCAAATAAACTAAATTGCTCAAAAACGGAATAAATATTTTTACAATGTGTCATTATTTTGGAAGATTTTTGAAGTAAATAGATGTATGTTTATTTATATAATCCCGTGTACTGAAAACCGTTTATACCAACCAATATTGCCACTACCATATATACAATTATATAATATACCCTTGTGGGTCAGGGTAATTTTACATTGGTTTTCAGGAGAACCGGACACCATCCAGACCTTCACGTGACAACCTAAATAGTACGGCTCAATCCCGTTTAACAGGAGAGCCAAACACTACCCATATCTACAATCTGAATTAAATAAGCCACCATAGTTTTCAAAAGCCGATACTTTATAGTTTCATTTTATTGATAAAAAAATATTACTTTGCTTTACAATCACCAAGAATGAGCTAATAATAATTCAAAAACCAAGTTGTTTATTTAACAGAATGACATGTTCATTTATTACTCTACTGAATTTATTGAAAGTATAGTTTATAACCAAAAGCAGTTAGTGGTAGTGGCTAGTCTTACCAGTTATTTCAAGCGAGAGTGTAGTTCGAGTCATGAGGTCATATGGAATCTATTGGTAAGCATCTGTCTGATCTTGTTCAGTGGTAATTGTTATTCTACCCTTAGTTGTTCCACGCATTATATTAGCTTTGGCCCAAGTTTTTGTTCCAATCATTATCTTCGTTTCTATTGTTTGTTTTCCTTTTCTATAATGTTGTTCAATATGAAAACGAAAAATAATATCTTACTTTTGAAATGTTTATATTATCGGCTGTTCAAAATTCATAATTTTGACTTTTTAATTAGCATAGTATCAAAATTAAAATCCTGATTCATCTACTTTCGACTTGTATTAGGACTCACTACAGCATCACACTGTTTATGATCCAGATGTATTTGATCATTCTTCAGTGTCAAGTACACCTTCAGCTTTAGAGGTTCCTGTTATCGAAAGCATGAGTTCACATTTGAGAAATGAGGGTGAAGAAAATCGTGAATAAGAAAACTGTCGGTGAATTATATGGTTTTTTAATTATAGAAGTTGAAATGTTTTCCTGTAACAATTCGCTTCACTTTTTCCGAAGTCAAGTTATATTTGCACTGTCATTAACCTTTTATTTTTCTACAAGGTTAACATAATTGCTTATGATATATTTAAATGCCAAGATTGTGTACTTTTTATACAATGTACGTTGTAATATTGGATTTTTAATATACTGAATGACTTTACCCCTTGTCACCTGCACATATTTTGATTTATTTGCTCTCTTTAAATGCCAGAATGTTTACTTCGATACTGTGTTTTTTTTTTCGAGAATCCCAGATAGTGTTAGCATAAAACGTATTTTGCAAATGATATTTGGTAAATTAACAACGATGTTTACTATTTCCGAAAAAAAACAATGTATTTCTTTGCTATCTAAAAATGCTAGCTTGACCTAAATTGCTAATTGTATTACAACGAATATTTTGTAGAATTTCATAAGAAATGTTCTTTAAAGGTGAACAGTTTATTTGTGTTTTTATGACAACTTATTCCAATAGATTATTCACTCATTGATAATATTTTGGCACAATACAGTTACAACTTGCTGGTCTGCCAGCTTATTAGAAGTGTAGCACATTTTTGTTTCTTTTAACTCGTCTAAAGTAAAGTAATTAGCTTTCATTGTCAAATATTCTGTGCAACATGGAAGCTTATTTCCTTGTTCTGAAATAACGTAATGGTAAGTGGATACTGAAATAATATATGCATGTAAACATTTATATCTATTTTGAATTAGTCAGAAATGCTGATTTTCGGTTTGTTAAGGTTCTATGTCATCGATGATCAATTTGAAATAATCTGCAAAACGTTTATGCATTTGTGAAAGAATATGATTTTATAGATATGATAACCGACTCTGCGTTGGATACTATAATCCTACTTTCTATAGTGTTATTGGTACCCATTGTTCAATAAACTTTCTTAGTTGGTGCATATAATGTTTTCCGTACTACTAGGTTTCGTAGTTGTTGCATGTATTTTTACTCATTTATTCCCTTTTGAAGTGCATAATTAACTGTGAGTATTGTCAAGTTTCTTGTACATCTATCTCCAAATGAAGATGTTCATGGGTTGACTTGACTGCAGATGAATAACATACTCTTAAACATCGATAGACATAATAGTAATACACTTGTTAATCAGTTTCTTTCATCTGAATGATGGTAAAGATAATCCTAATCACCCATTGCAAAGTAAGTTACTGTCCGTTTTGTTCTAATTGTAAGCTGTTTTATGTATTTTGTGATAAATCGTAGAATGTTTAGATCTATTACGAAATTTGTTTCTTATCAGAATAGGGATTTGTGTAGATTGTAGTAATTTTAATAGTTGAATTCATGAGATGATCTAAACTAGAACACCATTGAAAACCTGGAAGCACAGACAATGGATGAAGGGTTGTGTAAGATCATGGATCGATTGAAGTTAGATACTAACACTGTTGGATGCCGGCTCAGTGGTCTAGAGGCTAAGCGTTCGCGCACGAGATCGAGAATTCTAGGTTCGAGTCCTGTGTGCGGGATCGTGGGTGTGCAGAGCTTAGGAGTTCCAGATTAGGACGAAGGGGCCGTCCAATTCTTCCAAGTACTCAATGGTGGTCTAGCTTAGATTAACTATAGAATTCAACTATTAAAATGTGTTTTGTTTGAAAGGATATATATGATATATGATTTATACAACTTATGACCGGGATTGGACTTTTACTAATGAGGTTACTCAATGAGTACACTTCTGTGTATAAACCTTATGTTCAAGAATTCGAAAAATTGCCGGAATTACAGAGCTGAAACTATCAAATGGTTTTTAATGTAAGACTCACATCTTGATCTCCTACTGTCTGATTAGCAAACGGATTCTAATGAAATGGTGATTGAAAGCTACCCTAAAAATATCAGTGCTTGACAAACGCAAAACTGATTCCTAACTTAAATACACACAGTGCATATTGTGAACTCTACTTACTGTCTGTTTCATTGTGGTTCTACGTAAAGTCTCACCTGAATCTAAAAATTATTATTATTTATTTGGTTTCCACACTATCTTAAAATTCCAAGGTTTCAATTAACGTTTTGAATATCTCAGATGGTTAAAGTACTTACACAAATACAGTTGGTTAAGTTGACGAGAGATGTAAACAAATTGAATTTAATAGAATTCTTCATAATAATAGGTCGTCAATTTTGTCGATTATCATTTGTTCAAAATCGTGGGGATTTATAAGTAAATATATAAGTTAGATTTATCTCGACACGAATTTAATATTGAAGACCATCTTACTAGATATATTTGATGCATCTGTCGAAACAATATCTGTAACATGAAAGGTGTGGAGTACTAATGATACCCCAGTTGTACGCTACATTGTTGTTACTTCTAAGCCTTGATCGTGTTCAAAGCCAACTGGAAGCTTATTTTGAAACCAGGTCATTCATGCATTTCACGTCAAGTCCCATACATTTCATACACGAATTTTCATTTAATAAATCTAGAAAATCACTTTTATCGAAGGAAAGTGTAAACACCTGGAGTTAGATCTGACAACAGATACTTAATTATGTACTCATGAAAGGAACATTGCTTTGAGGACTACTTCAAAATGTGATTAGAAAAACCCATGACTGAACACAAGATAAGTTATTTAAAATAAGTCTGTTTATTAACAATTTCTGGCGTTGATTAGATTAATCAAATTAACATTTTGACGTACCGTAATCCATTGACAACTTTTATAATTCAGCATGTATGATCTGACTTTCCAGTCAGTAGTAAATTGCGGATGAATGATAAAGATGTTTTAGGCTTGTACTGTGCCATGAAACCTAACTGAAAACCTCTGACACTGTATCAGACAGAGTCGGTTATTTTTCGAATTGCCTCTTTTGCTCTTCTAACAATTGAAATGGGAAAGCATGACTTGATCTTCAATCAGTATTGATTCAAATATCATCTGGCTATCGAGATATAAATATAGACAAACGAAAGAAAACAGATTTATTTGATAAAGTGTAATAAGTACTACAAATGTTGATTTAAATTACTTCACTAATCCTACTTAGAGTATCTACTAGTCTTTAATGTGAGATTGAACTTGTGAAGAATTTCTTTATGGGAAAAAAGAACATTTTTTGTTAGTCTCACGTAAAGACTTTCCTGAATACTAAGGACGTTCTTATATGTCAAAATTATATGACTGGTTATCAATTCAATTGTTAATAAAAAGAGTTCGTATCATGTAATTAACTTTAGTTGCAAACAACTCCTAGATGGGAATTCATCTACTCCAGTCTAGCAAGTTTTTATCCATAAATCTATTGAATTCCAAAAAGAAATCATTCTTTGAACTGAGTGGATCCTTTCTGTAATTTGTTGTAAATTTAACATTATCGATGATAAGTTTATCCAACATTTCATGAACAATGCACACATTTTCATAGTGTTGTGCACAAGGTATTTATTACTCGGCTTTGAAATGAATGTCTTAGTCATTATGATAAATTGCAGACTTGAAAATCTGATTTTAAATATAAAGAACACTTACATCATATGCATTTACTGTCTCAAGATTATATCGAAAAACGTGGGGGTAGCTGTCTATGGCTCACCCTGGATTGCGTGGTTGGCGTTTTTTTATAGTAAGGTACTATTTTGAGGAATGAATTTGGTAAACTCTTGCCAAATTCACCTCCTGTATGTTTAAGAGGACAACTAGTAGCTTAAGAGGGGCTCTAGGAGGAGTTTGAAATTTCCAACAACTAATATATCCTAAGACAGTATCCTCATCAGTTTATTAAGATTAGTTTGGATCTCGGTCAATACATCGATCCATAGTCTACTTGTGAGTTGTGTATACAGAGCCCAGACACTTCAGCCACTGTGGATGATCTTAGTGTTAATGCACTTATACATCATTGTATTTGAAATGTTGATGTGGGAGCCATGGAGGCGACTTCAGCTATCCTATTATAAACTGATTTACTGGTGACAAGTCCGTCAAGTAATGAGGAATTCTCAACAATACTAGATATCTACTGTTGGTTTTGATAGGTGCATACCTCAGGAAGACATGCTAACATCCTCAAACTAATTCTATTTCAAGATACCATTCCCCCATCCGTACAAGTTAGGAATGAACTTGGAAGCAATGATAATAAAATGGTTGTCTGTATTCTTCCCGTTAATATTAACCCTACTGATAACCTTTCCTTAAAAAGAAAACGTCAATATCGGGACTATAAAGTGCAAAGTGGGCTTAATGCAAACCTTGTTGAAGTGTTCATTTTTGAATAACTTCTCGAGAAATAGTCTCGTACGTGTGCGAGATATTTTATCAAATCGATTCCATTGCACCGGCGAAAAGCTAATGCCTTATTCATAACAGCTAAGTAACGCAACTAACTAAGATTTTTTCGAAAAGTTACTTTAAGTCGAATTGTTTTTCACCCGCACAATTAGCTGTAATTTCTAACCAAGTCTGAGAAATTCATAATTCAAAGGCCTATATTGAAGAGTAGTTAGCACTTAACGTTGGTTCAAAAGAAGTAAACCTTAGTTATTCTACTCAATAAACGTGTAGGATTATCGCAAACTTAAGATTTCCCTTGAATTTTCCATAATGGTTCTTTTATAAAGATTCGAAAACCGACACAAACATTTTCAGTGATATTGTTGTAATAAATAATAAGACTCTAGAAAACTTTGGACAAGAAATCACACATGAGATGTATCTCTTCCAATCCCTTAAGGTTTCGAGAAGTCACCAATTTGACGGAATTCTACATGTTTACTTCCACTGCTTCTTCTAAAACTGTTTATAGTTCCTCTGGATACGGGCACTAGTCCTAACTGTTGGAAACCAAACACAATACTTCCTTACAAATCTACAAACAAGACTGACTAAGATGAGTATCGGCCTGTGAATATTACCCCGGATATCCCAAGAATAATGTAAAATAT